ACACCCCTTAAATCTCATTTCTCACCCTATTTAATCATCTTACTTCAAACTATTAAGTTCACCCCATCAATACTCACTACATTAGTTATCAAACTCACCCCGTCTATATTCACTAATTAAAAATTAAATTCATTCAATTTTATTTCAACTTACTATATAAGCAATGATTAAAATTTAGTTTCAGTGTATTATTTCAATATAAAAATATTTCAAAAGTAGAATAAAAATTAATAATTATTTTTAAAATATTAGTCAAAATATTTTTAAAACCTCAAAATATTCCAAAGATATTGGTGAAAATATTTCAAAATATCTCAAAAACACCTCAAAATAATATAAATCATCTCTAAATATTGAAATTTCTTTTCAATTATTATTTTTGTTTCGGTTTCTTTAGCATATATTTAATAGTTTAATTGAATGAATATAAATGGAATGAACTTAGTAACTAATGGGGTGGGTATAGCTGAGGTAAACTAAATAGTTTGAAGTAAGATGATTAAATGGAGTGAAAAAGATATTTAAGGGTTGAGAATAGCCCCACCCATTTTCTTTTCATACTTATTATACATTTTCGATGTGGAATAAATATTAGGGTTAAAAAAAATCTTTGAACTAAACCTCAATCTCACCTCACACCCTATACTTTTATAGGTTTCACTTAACCCCTTTAACTTGTGAACAAACTGTAAATGTTAATAGAAGTAATAGTTTATACAAAAAGACTAAACAACTCATGTTTATAATTCAATTTTCTTTGTGATGTCATCATTGTAAAACCCTTTTATCTTTAAAAATAGGAAAATTTGGAGGCTAGTCCTCCTATACGGTCTCATTTGAAGATAAGTCCGTCAAGAAAATTTATTTGGTTTTAAATCTGTTTTTGTCAATTTTACTATTGTAACCCTTCCCTGTATGAATGTTATAAATGACGTTTATAGACACAATAATCAGTCATATACATCTCCTTCATAATTGCCTTCAAATCCGGTTACAATCTTCCAAGCCACAATGTTTCCTTATCCGAAAAATAAGAAACTAGCATTTACCAAAAATCGTTTATATTCAAATTTCAAACTCATTACATTCAATAAAATACAATTTCAATTTACTATTCCAATTTACTTTGGAGTCCATCGACAAAATATTAATACTTAAAAAATAACAATCACAATTGGTGTTGAGTGTCGTAATTCAACTATCGATTGTGTGTTACTACTCGTCATTTTGTAAATTTTCAATTTGTGGATTTGTATTTTCACTAAAATCATTCGAAAGTTGATGTTACTGTAAAAAGACTATTGTCTTGTATTTTGTAAAATTAGATGTGTTACTAAGAACAAAGCTTTAATGTTACTGTGAATATTAAAGTGTATGTTACATAATATACATCTCAAAGTTGTAATTGTATGTCAAAATTTACTATAGTAACATTAGTGTCAGTATAGTAACACAACTGTACTAGTAATACGACTCTAATTATAATTTCAATCATATAGTAACATGAATGTTATTATTTATTAGCATTCGTGTTACTGAACTCTGTTGGCATTGTTCAACCTTTCTATATTATGCATTACTGTTGTTAAGGAAATTTTGTGATCTGATTTTGATTTAATAGATCAACAATTTATTTGTACATTAAGCTTCTCATATATAACCATCAGAATATATAACTTCCATATAAAACTTCATTTAATTATTATAATATTTAATAAATAATTTTCATATATAACTTAATCAAGGGTTTCCATATGTACATCAATAATCTAACCTATGTGATTTACCATAACTGAAAAAAACTAACACCGTTAGGGATAATTTTGAGATTTAAAAGATAAGTGAACTTAAGTACCTACATATAAGTTCAAACATGAACTTATCCCCAAATAAGTTTCCTTCTAGAAGTCAAGTCATTCTAGGTCCATCTAAAGGGATTCACCCTCAATTTTCACTTAAACAAATAAAACATGCAACTAGCACACTTTTACCACCATAGTCGCACCCCATCACTACACTCCATAAATTTCTCTTCAAGCTATGGAGAAGGCCTAAATGAAGGGGGGAAAGTCCGAAAGAGAGAGAAAGAAAGAAAGAAATGAGAAAGAATTTTAGATTTTTTATTTAGAGGCTTACAATATATAAATTCAACCTAGTCGGGCTTATTTTGTCATAAGGATTTCGTTGGTGTGATTAGATTAAGTTTCATATTGTGTGTGTGCCCGAATTTGTGTTTGAAGTTTAAAGTGGTTATGAATTTTCAAATGAGTTACCTAGCAAACGACCATTTCTTCCTCAATTGAGGCTTGGATTATGTTATGGGTTTGTAGTACAGTGTATTGGAGTGCTTGGAAACCATGACCGTGGGATGTGTGTGTGGTGAAGAAACCTACTAGGGTTTGGAAACTTGAAAATCAAAATTTTGAAAAACTTGTTAAATCTTCAAAAGGGGGGTTAATATGCCTTCGGAGGTGTTTGATAAAACTCAAAGCTTAATATTGAAAACTTAATGTTGAATGCTAAATTTTTTAATTCACAGACTGTTTGAATGCTAACTTAATGTTGAATGCTAAATGTCATCTATTGAAATTTAAGTATCAAAATTGAATCAAATTATTTGACAAATATAAGAATCTGAAGTTTAAAAATTATTATTATTCTAATTTTACCTTTTTTTAAACTATCTCACTGCAACTACCTTATTCCTACCACGACCATCACAATGATGGCGGTGGTGGCAACAGTACAATGGTAGTGATGGTGACAGTGGCGGCAAGACAATAATGATAGCAGTGGTGGTGGCCGTGGCGATTTCGAGACAATGGTAGTGGTGGTGGTTCCAGCATAATGGTGGTAGTGGTGACAGTAATACAAAGTTGGCAGCGGTGGTTGTAGTGTTGGCAGCACAATGGTGGCAGTCTGGAACGAAACCAGAATTTTACACCGAGGATGGCCAAACAATAACATAATCAAAATTTTATTCAAGGGGATTAAAAAAAAGTTATTTTAATCATAACTTTTTAGTTGAATATAACACATAAAAATCTACTTTTATACGATTACTATCGTAAAAATAAATTTGGGTCATAAAATTTAAAAATCAATTCTTAATTATCATCGTAAAAGTTAATTTGTGGCAATGTCATTGTCTCTTTATCCTCTTATTTTCTATGTGATGTAATAATTATGAAAAAACTATCATTATAATTAATAATTTCACACAATAATCATAGAAAAAACAAGTTGAGCCAATGTATTGGTTTTAATATAAGTAACATCTGTTATCCAATTTTATAATAATCTTACCCTTTTTTTTTTGTTCATCAAACTGATCTAATCAAATGTCTTCGTTTGTAAAAATAGCACGCACTCAGGTGTTTAGATCTGTCATTTGGTTATTAAATATCAAACCATTAAGTTTTTTAATACACTAATTATAATTCCCTATGTACAGAATTTTTTAAAAGTACAAGGAGGAAGTGTAAGACTTTTTGAAAATCTAAGGGAAGGTTATTGAATTTTTCAAAAATGAGAGGGGGGCGCCCCTTACATAGTTCCGTCCATTGCGGTGGCAGAGGCGATGGCACAATGATTGTGGCGACGGTGACACCATAGTGGCGGTGACGAGGAAGATGATGATAGTGATAGATTGGTATTAAAAAATTAAAAATATATTTGTTCATTGTAAAAAATTTATAAAATTCTTACTGATTAAAAATATCAGCATTTAATGATAAGTAAGTGACTTATTACTTAAAATTTTAACTTATTTTTAAGAAGTACTTAAAACATTAAGTGGCATGATTTTTAAGTTACTAAAGGAATTTAATTAATTAAAATATTTAATTTTTAATATTAAGTGATATTACGAAACTACCCTTTTTATTTATTTTTTTCCACTTGTTACTTGCTTTCAATGTAACATGAACATTATAGGCGAAAACTTTCCCTACATGTAAATCCTGACATTCATGGAAAGTTTTATGGTATCTTCGGCATTATCGATATCAAAAATTACAATTTTTTTGAGGTGAAAGTTATAACTTCAAAAGGCATGATTGATTAAGGAAGGTTCGATACTGCGTTTTTCGTTATCGATTTTTTTTAAAAATTGTAATTTTGCTTATACAAAGTAGTAAATGGCAATACTGGTACCAAAAATTTTTTTTGGGTACCATGTACTTTTCTTACGTGGATAGTCTGTTTTTGAACTAATTTGGGGAGGAGATTATTCAAAGTAAACATAAGTTGCCCAGACAGACACGCATAACCATTGAACTAAAAAAAAGTGGAAGAAAATCTTAGTCTCTAACTCATTTTAGTAGTTTACTAGCTGCAATTCCGTGTCATCTCATGTACGAAATTTATATTTAGTCACCTACCATTCCCCCTCTTCCACTATCTTCTCCTCTCTCTTACCCACCATTTATGGAGTAAAAAAGTTAGACAAATAATTATAAAAATTTGGAATAATAGAAAAATATTTTTTAAAAAAATTTAAATGAGAAGTTATTAATTAGTAATTATGTCACGTGATGAAATGAAATTGGATTGAAAATATTAAAATAAATCAAAATTTTGAAATTGAGAGAATAAGAGAGAACGCTCAAGGTCTCTCCCACTAATTTGTTTGTTATATAATATAGTATAAATTGACCGTTCACTCATAGCTCATGTTATTTTAACCCTCTGAATCATGACCCAAAAAAAAAAACCTTCTGAATGGATTCAAATATCATCCACATGTGCATTCACCGAGTTCATATGAAGATGAGCTACCTACAGCTTGGGTTAAATTTCATTTTCATTTTCATTTTACCAGGATTATCTATTTCCACAATAAATTAGATGAAACTTCAGGATTAGAGCATGGAGAAGAAGATTTTTCCATCAATAAAAAGGAATTACAAAATTGTTCAAAAAAAAAAAAAAAAATGAAAAATGGGAAATATTAAGTTATAAAATTACAGGATAAGAAAGAATAGAATAAAATAATCCTTCCCATTTCTGTATCTCCTTATCCCTTTGTACACATTCTTAACTTCAACTGTATTATCTCTGAATACTGTTTGGCAAAGTTACCTGAAGCTCATTATCTGCTGTTGTTCTTGATGGAATATTGAGATTCCAGAGCATAACTTTGGAGCAACCCTCTGATGGGATTCCCTTCAATTTAGTCTCCTCATCAAGAACCTCTTTTTTGACAAATTTTAGTGAATTCTGTTGAGGATAAAGAAGGCAGAGAGAGAAGAAAAGTTACTTCTTGATAAGAAACATCATTGAACATTGATGAAAATGGTTTTTATGATGTGAAAAAGAATAAAGGAAAAGACATTCATGATATGCAATTTTTTTGTGAGAAAAGTAGTAGTAATTTAGTTAGAGATACTAGAAAAGAAAAACTTTTTTGTTGGTTACATTAATTAGTATGACAATGGATAGCAAGTGTTCTTTATCAAAGATCCGGAATGTACTTCCTTTACCGAAAGTTTTGGGCTCAATGATCCTATTTCCTTGGTCTCCCAATTGTCTTTTAAACATAGCTGCATCTCGTTTTGGAAGACGATGAGGATGGACAAAAGAAACAGGGGAAATAGGGCAAAGTTCATCTGATTCTTGATCCAAATGCTCTGGTTCTAGAGCTATCAGGAAATATTACTGCAACTTGAGTGAGTTAAGGGCATGTTGATCCCCTCAGCTATAGTCCCGATCTCATTCTATCCAGTCAACTACTGAATTGGTTTCACATTTTCCAAACCTGAACCCCGCTATGTTTTGGATGAAAAATATTCACGTGTCATTAGATCACTTAGTTTGGACACGAAGTGGCACAATTTTTTGTCCTATTGTAACTGACATTTGTCAGTACCATGAAACTAATGGCCAGAGTTGGTGAAATATGAGAACAACACTGTTATGCAGTCCAAGATTTCTTACCAAATTTTTCATTCCAAGTGAAGTAGTATAATTTTTACCATCAAATAAGTGGGTCTCATTAATATTTAATGATAAACATTGTATCACGTCACTTAGAATAGAAAACTTGATAAGAGACTTAGTAATCATAACATTACTGATATGAGAAATATGATAGTTGATAAGACAATGTAAACTAGGAATGGTCAATGAGGGGTCAAAGTATAATTTTCCTTTAAGTTAGTCCTGATAAAGTTTCACTTAGCTTAAGCATACATGCAATAGTTGGGTGCTTAGCTAGGTTGGCATACCTGTGAGGAGTCTTGGACAGATGAAGCACGACCCCATCTTTCTGGATCCCAGAGAATAGAACTATTGAATGCAAAACTTGAAATATGAACAGGAGATCTTGTATCTGTTTCTGTTAGATTGTTCAATTTTTTCAAATGCCACCCTATAACTTCTGAAGAATCGCATACAGGCCCTTCGATTTTCACCGTCCTACTGTTTGCAGATAGAAATGCCATCGGCCATGTTCCAAACACCCTGCAAATTCTCCATGCTTAACTTCAATCTTTTGATGAAGGGTTTTATTGAATACTAGTATAGATTATATAAAATATGGAGGGTTGATGAGTATATGGTCAATCGCATGATTAATGAGTATCCTAGGTCCTAAATTCCCAAAGTTTAGATTATTATAAGCATAGTTGTTAGTATCTTATGATTGGTCATGACACAATACCCGAACGATACGTATCTAAGAGTCGTATAATTTTTCACCACATCTTACGATATGCAATATATATTTTAAAATACGTTCTAATACAATAAAAAAAGATACTCGCAATATCAAAACGTTATCATTTCAAAAGATTTTTTTTTCCCACCTAAACAATGAAATGACATTATTTCCTTGATATATTGTTTTCATTTTTTGGTTTGCCATTAAAAAAACAAAGTTATCAATCATCTTCTTCTCTCAGAACTCTCTTTTTATTTCTCCGGCATCTTATTATTCAGAAAAAATCCTACCTACATTTCAATCTCTATTGTATAGATAAACGATTGTCTCTCTTTTGATCTCTATTAGGCACACGAAATGATAAGTTAGTTAAAATGATATTTATATTACTTCAAAGTTATATATTTACATATTTTTAGGTACGTGTACATATATATGTGTGTGTGTGTGTGTGTGTATAAATTTAAATTAAACATATCTTACAAGACATAATACGTTACGATACACAATACATTATTTTTGAAAAATTGATGACAACCATGATTACAAGTATGCTAAAAAAGATTCTCCAATTGTCTATAACATAATAATGTAATGTAAGTCACCAAATACCATATAACAAAAGAAAATACTGTACATGCTTGAAATTTATGAAGAAATTAGTTGAACTTTGAAAATTTCACCTACCAGCCTGCACAATTGATTCTTATGCACAAGAACAACATGAGAATTTACTTTCAAACAACTCTAAAGAAGTCTCTCTAAAATCTAAGGGCAACTCAAAATTAGTTTGTAATTTTATGATAAGAGTTCATATTGAAAGATAAAAAGCACATACTCGATCGCCCTGATCTCATCGAAGAAGCTGAGATCATAAACATTGGAGAGTCCAGCAAAATGAACAATACCACTTAGCCGATGGTGCTCAATGTGATTAAGAGCGACGTTCCTTTGATGATCCATTTCAACCTGTATGTCAGTGAAATTCTCCTTGAAGACCAAATGTCTATACATAATACCTGTTTTTCTAAGTATTTCAGATACTTCAGAGGAATCGGATTGTTGTTCAACCACCACCCACAGCAATGGTGGAGGAACCAGTTTTAATGTGTTTGCTAGCCTCCATAGGAGCACTCCTCGGAGCTGATCTTTCATGCTTGTGGGAGTGACAATAATCACAAGTCTTCTTGGAACCAACTCGGATTGTTCCTTTTCTTCTTCCAAGATTTTCGCAGGTTCTTCATCATTAGGCCTTGTTGGGATTGTCAATTGTTCTTGATCCAACAAACTTCTATTGAAATTCTCATTTTGTGTGGTTGTTTGGTGCAGCATTTCCACAGGTTGTGGAGAGAATTCTGATTTATTCGATGCAGCAACATGAGTAGAAAATATCGAAGACTTACCCGTTGGAGCAAAGCCAGTGAAGAATCCCATTATGAAACACAGCAAAAAATGGACAATGGCTTTCTTCCACAACTGGACTTTTTTCTTTGATCTTTCTAATGAACCCATCACCCCCACCCACCGGAATATGACTTTTTCAGGTAAGAATTGGTGGTTGTCGTCGGAAATTTGATGAAGATAGGTTAGCAAGGAGTAAATATTGAAGTTTAATCCTCTAAAATGTGGTATGGAATTTATATATGTGAATGTTGAGAAGGTTGCAAGGAGTATTTCTGAAAAGAGGCGGGAGCCAACTGACTTGTGATGGATATTGGTGAACTTATTAGAATTTTTGAGTTATTTCAGAATTTTGAGCCATTGCTTAGCAAAGTCATCACTTGAAGTGAAAGGAAGGTGATAAAGAATCATATAATTAGGAGTTGAGTTGTTGTTAGCAACAAATAGTTGTTGAGATGCAAACTCATCACCTAAAATTTTTGAAAGTGAGAAAAAAAAAATGATTAGATTAAGGAATGGTTAGGACCTGTTTGTGATTTACAGTATTTTATATAGTTGTCACTATAGTTGACCAGTGACACAAATGTGATACAAATGTAATTTAAGTAATAATAAGAACGAATAATAAATTTAGATATCTTGAATTCGAATCTTGATAACTTTTTAGAGTCAGACATAAAGGATATATCCTCCGTGAATACTCTAATCTTGGTTGTAAAGTCGGATTCTGATTCTGATCAAAATTCAAGATGTTCAGAAGCCTACCTCAATGTGGTACCCAATTGTTACAAACAAGGAGTTTGCACAAACTTGTGCACTCAACGAGAGCAATTGGTACAATTGGTATAATTGCACCATCAAGACATCAACAGAATCAACCTCGTAAGAGTAGCCAACTCATCAAGGCAGGCAAAAAATTGGTATAATTTTCCTATTGAATAGTAACGCGCACAGGAACTCATTTGAGAAATTAACATCGGAAATACGAAGACTTAATTACAAAAATAATAAAAAGATAACGGATACAGCTACAAACGAGAAACAAGAACAAAACCTCTGGTATGCAGAAAGCTAATCGGTAAATAAGTAACAAAAGAACAGTACTTATTGCTCATCATCGGATGATTTGGTTGATATAGACTCTCTTTGTGGCCTGTGCTTCTTCCGCTTTAGTTTGGGCAAAGACATGATCCAAGCTGGAACTTCACACCCAGAAGCTGCAATCACATTGGCTATGTTTCGCAGAAATGGAACATCTGCTTCTGTGTATAAAGTTATAGCCTCTCCACTTCTCCCTGCCCTGCCCGACCGACCTATTTAAAGCAGCAAAGTTGGTTTCAGTGACTCGCCAATACCCCCCACCCCCGGGGCCACCCAAAAATCTTTCCCTCCCCAAAAAAGAATTAAAGGTAGAACGCATATATAGGATATGAAGGTAAAAGAAACAACAAAAAAGATAAAATGCGAGATCACTGGAAACCATCGCCCTGATTTTCAACACTGCTAATATCTCAGTGAGCAAAGAGGAAGATTAAGGATTGAAATTTTGTAACACATTAGTAAAATAGAGCAACTTGAGATGATCCAGAAAAAGGTTATACTGGAACAGCAGAGCTGACAAAAGGTCAAAGTAGTAGCTCCAATAACTCATCAAAACTCCAACAACAATTCAGCAAAAGTTGGGCAAATATTTTACAAAATATTTATAACCCCAATAACCATTATACTATCGCCTCAGTATAGAATTGTGTAAAATGTACAACATTTTACTTTGTAACAAGACAATTTAACAAATATGCATAATAAAACCAACTAACTTAAACTGTTGATTCAAATTTGCCTTTTGAAAACAATAATATCAGAGAATTGTTCGGACATAGAGCTCCATCGACTAAGCTATGTCAAAAAAAAAACATCAATGATCTAACCACCCTACATCTAATTTTTTTTTTTTTTTGAGATTTTCTTTTTTTGGGGAGGATGGGGAAGGGGAGGGGCAGGAAGAGGGAGAGAGGGGAGGGGGACTTGAACCCTCAACCTAAAGAAGACAAAGTCTTCACAAGACAAGAAATACCATTGGACCAAAGGGTCATTGGTCCACATATAATCTGAAGTTAAATGAAGTGAAAGTAATAAAAGGTTGAGATTACATACCAATCCGGTGAATGTATGCTGCTGCAGAATCTGGGAAATCATAATTAATCACACAATTAATGCCTTTGAAATCCATACCACGGGCAATAACATCAGTGGCAATCAAAACCCATGTTTTGCCAGCTCTGAAGTTGTCAACGGCATTTTCGCGCTGCATTTGATTAAAAATTTGTTAAAAACATAACTCTAACTATAATTATTGGAAATATATAGTGATTAGAGCAGATGTTTATTGCCAAGGCTGCAATACCATACCCTCCCTCCTTCACCCCCACAAAGATAGAAGATCATTATCCTTCAGCCCCTCTCAATGAAGTTACTTGGAGGATGGTAGACTGGGACTGGGTAGGGTATAGACCTAACCAATGGTGTTATTTGTAGAAAGTGGTAAGTCCTAATATTCAAAATTACAACCTTGCAGTTGTTAGCCCCAACATTTTACCACTACACTAGATAATGGTCCCTATCAAAAATGAAACCAGTATTCAAAGGAAAACTAAGAGAACAAGTCACACAACTCACTTCAGGTCAAACGTCTTGGGTCAGCTAGCAGGTGAGGCACTAGGAAAAAGTAACTGAACAAGCAGTCCTTTATGAAAATACTTGAGGTTAAGGCATATGATGCTAAGCTCCTTGAATTTTAGGTTGACAGCCTGACGGGAAGTCCGCAAGCAAACACTGAATATGTAAATAACAAGTTAAGAATTACCAGCACTTGGTGCAGATCAGAATGGATTACATCAGCTCTAATGTCGTCAAATTTCAGTTCCTTGTAGAGCTCCTTTGCCCGTTCCTTGTTTTGGACAAATACTAATACCGGTGGATTCAGACTCTGCTTGAAAAGAGGAAGATATATATACAATCAAACACATAATTGGTCAAGATAAAGATATTCTTTCACTTAGAAGTAACAGCATGAATAATCTGGCGAAAAAGTTTGCAAATGGCATGGCCAACAAGTTCCCACGAAGTATTGTTGCCTCAATCAGCATTTCCAGGTGCCTTTTTGGTCTAAAGATTTCTCCATTACGTGAAACAGGCAAAGCATGATTCATATCTTACTCAATATATGTTGGATCTTGGATGTACACCAGTTTATTAGTGTGAAATACCAAAGGAAACTAGCAAGACGCATAGAAGTCAACGGCCAGTAGGAAGGAAAAGGACATGACTAAACAAAATAAACTGACCATGCCTGGTGAGTGAATCTCAGCGGTAGCAACACAACCCCAGATGCTTTTTCATGTTCATTTTCATTAATAAACAAATCTAATTTGTAAAGAAATAGTTTCATATTTTCCAAAACTATAAGAACAGTGGAATGGACAAACTTCGCATCACATGCATATAAGCAGCATACCTCTGTAAAGCATTGACGAAGAGCAAGAAACTTCCCTTCTTCACTTCCAACAAATACCAGTTTTTGCTTTATCAAGTCAGAAGCAGTGTTCCTGTTCAAAATTAATATGAACACTATTTAAGCATAGAACATAAACAAGACAGCAATCATAACGGGGTAGAACCTTTGTACTGCAGTCACACTGCCGGGAAACCCACAAAGCCTTTCAGCCAGATGCAAATAATGAAAAAAAGAACAAGTTGCTTCATGCTCTTGCAATAAAGGAATCTAGTACTTACTTCCTCCCAATAATAACTCGAACAGCATCATGCATTATTGTGCGCGCAAGCTCTTCAACTGAATCAGGTAAAGTAGCACTGAACAAAGAGCGCAATACTGAAGGATTTGAGCAAGCTTTGACCACAGAATCGACCTGCTTCACCAAGCCTAGCTCAAATAAATGATCGGATTCATCCAGAACAAGGTACTCAACCCTGCAGAAAACCAAGTTAAGTGGTAATGGATGCAAAGTCAGCTCAAGTCTTATTAGAACGCTAGAAACACTTAAAACAGTGAGAGAGATTAAACCATATCTTTTGCACATGCAGGCAAAACAGTTATTAGTGGAAAAGGCACAAAATCTTGCAATATACCATATTGAGTTTCAAATGATTGCTAATTACCGTCAGTAATAGTCATTTTAGTACAAGTGGATTAAAAAACAGAAAGAGCAAGCAATGAGGTCAAAACACTTAAACAAAATGAGACCTCAGTTCGTTTGACTAAGTATGTGTTCACGTGAATCACATTAGTAATTCTAATTATTCTACTACAGAAATTATAAAAGAGTTCGCATCTTTTGGATGCTAAGATATTTACCTGCTTAAATCAAGCTTCCTTTTGCGGATAGCGAATTGTAAGCGAAATGGTGTTGAAATGAGGATATCACAAGGCAGCTTTGAAAAATCAGCACCTTTAACAAGCTGTTTGGTCATCAACTTGATATAAAATCTTTTCCCTTTAGCCATTTGCTTACATTCTCTTGCCGTCTGAGCAGCTAACTCTCGTGTAGGACAAATGATAACAGCTCGGACACCATCCTTTGAAGCATGCTGAGTACATGAAAATTTGTCAGTGAATACCATAATCAACCTTGACAAAGCACTCATATGTGTTCAACTATACCTTAAGTTTCATAAGCATAGGACAGACGAAAGCCAATGTTTTTCCAGAACCAGTTGGAGCACATGCAAAGCATTCCCGTCCCTAATAGAGGATGGTAACATAGTAAATGTGGGGGATGATTGAAACAGTAAGTCAGATAATATTATAAAATTTCGGAATGAGTAATTACCAAAACAAAATAGCCCCAAAAAAAAAAAAAACATACAGATAGTAGGGCTGGAATAGCCTGCCTTTGAATCGGTGTTGGCTCTCTAAATCCAAGTTCTGCCAAATTGCGTAGTAAATACGGTTTACATTTATACCTGTGCAAGGTCAAATATATGCTCACTCGGTCAAAAACATTGACCATGAACATTTATCAAAATAAGGAGAAAAAGCACAAGATAGTCAACTTTACAATAGCTAGAAAGTATCCAAGCGGAACACAAACTATTGTTGATGAAGAGTTCTAAGCCTCAAAACAAATGCAGTTAAAAAAGGAGTGGAGAAAGGAAAACAGAAAACAGAATAAAATATGAAAAGCAAAAAAGACAAATGTAATGCATGCCCTCCACTTCCACACATAAAACTAAGGCTGCGTCATGACTTCATCCATGTGCTAAGTTTGATTCTTCGTAAGCAGGCAACAAAGTTTAACAACGAATAAGTGCAATCTACTTCAAAAGCAGATTTGAAAATCAGTGTACAAAACAGAAAGAGAGAAGTTTTTTTATCAATCAACTTCATCTGCTTGGATTATGAAAAAACTAGAGGAAGCCATGAAAACAACTGTAGATCTCATTTCCAACCCCTTCCAAGTCTCCAGTGAAATGTTTAAGAAGGTTCCTAACCTAAAACAAATCACAAAGTATTGGCAAGGTATGGTCCTTTTATCCCTCCCTCACTTTTCTTAATCAAAAAAGAAAAAATTTTGCTTTTTCAAATACTTATTAAGGATGGACTTATGGAGAGCTTTAATGAAAATTTCATGCAATCAATTTTTGGGATATTCAATTAGCTGATCTCAGCTGGTTATGATTCAAGATGAATTCCTATGTACTCTGAGAAAAGAACACCATTAGATTGGAAAGTTAAGGAGAAAGGGGAGTGGAAAATTTTGCCATTACAACACAATTTGGGAAAACTTAGGGATAATTTAGAAAATCAACATTGGTAGCAAGAAAACTCTGGCAATATGAAAAAATGGATGTCATATATTTCCTCATTTGGTTGACATATCAGACAAAATGTGAATGTTTATCCAACAACAGAAGGAAATCAAGTGGTCTTCCCACAATGCACAAGCTGATCCTCAAGGTGAGGAGTATGCTAGTTTCATTTCTTGATTATATACGGAATTATACAAAATAGTTTCTTTTATTTGTAGAGCGCATCCCAGAGTATGTTCAATGAGCACCAATTATGAAAGTTGACATCACAAAAGCTGAAGAAACAAAACATTCATAGGATTCTCAGAAATCACACAACTTTTGCAGCTTGGAATTGGAGCTTTAGAATTGAATTGAGGGAAAATTGAATATACACCTTGATCTCAACTCCGCAAAATTCTGAAGTGGAGATGGGACAAGGCTCCCAGAAATATGAATGTTATGCTTCTTCCTCAAAACTGCATCCCTCTGAACTCATTATAAAAGGAGAGATAAATAATCGTACGAAGTATCAAATGTAAACCAAATAATAACAACGCCCACTCATTTTGAGCAGAAAAATATAGTTAGTTAGAGAGAGAGAGAGAGAGAGAGAGAGAGAAGAGAACCTCCAATTGCCTATAGAATTCCTTCTTTCCTTGAGAAATCTCATTTTCAGTTCGTTCAACTTCTTCAGTCACAACTTCTGATTTTGAACTCTTGAAAACACTAAACCCTTCTACCGGTTCTGCAACCATTAAAAGCAATCAGAACAAGCCAAAACGTTAGAATCTAACAACTCAAATACTCAATTTGTTTTCAACAAACTACCATAAACCACCAAAATACCTCAAAAAATTACCTGAAATCGGCTTTCCTTTTCTCTTCCTCTTCTTATTAACCCTCAGGGTTCCCTCCTCAATTTCAGAGTTTTCGCTTTCTAGCAATTTCGACTTGTCTGCTGAATCATCACTTTCTTCTTTCGCCTAAACAATTTTTAAAAATTATGAAAAACGTGAACCCCATATAAACACATACAAACTTATGCATGTACATGACGTATTACAGCATCATAATTTCCGAAACCTTTTAGTATGAGAAACCAGCTCATTTAGGAACCTAAAGTTCCTGCTTTTTCTTTCTCCGTGATTCAATTTTCTCGGAAACCAAACGAAGGTCTTGGAAAGCAGAAAAATTACCTTGAATCTGGTGAAATCTTCCGCGAACTTCTTTCTATCGAAGGTTATGCCTGAGAATAGAAACGAGGCGTCTATCCCCATCGTTCAGAGAGCCGAGAGTGAGTGTTTGCGAAAGACAGAACTCAACTTTTCCGAATAGTGTGACCGAGTCTAGGACTACTTAAGATTCAGAGTCTGAGAGAGACATACAAGTCTGTGGAGGGAAACGAGAGAGAAGATATGAAGAATATGGACTCTGGAGAGAGAGAGAGAGAGAGAGAGCGCGGCGGACAGACAGACGATGAACGACAGAGATGAATAATGAAAATCCGATGCACACCTTTCTCCTTTATCGGTTTCGGTTTCGGTTTCGATTTCGGGTAGGTTTTTCACATTATAAATATATTCAAAATTTTGTAATGTGGTATTTTTGTTAATTTGTGTTACTTATTTCATTAATGTCAATTAGTTAATTTTTAACAAAATAATCAACGAAAACTAATAAAAAATTTATATTACAATACTTTTAAAATATAAAATATTTAATATTTAAAAAAATAAAATAAAAATTTTATTGCTCGAATTTAATTCAATAAAAAATTTATTGCTCAAATTTAATTCAACAAAAATTTCCAAATTCATGATAAATATCAATTTTTTTTTATCAAAGTACTAAGATTTTCAAGGTGAATTCTTAAGTAATTTGCAAGAACATTAAGGGTGCAAATTATGTATTAAATTAATTTGATATTATAATAAGATCTAAACATGTTTAAGTTCTCTTTATTAACTTTTTGTCCGACCTCAAACTCAACTCATCTAATTTAACAAATCGAGTTTGGAGCTTGTGTTTGAACTTAATTTCAAGTTTAAGGTTGATCCCAAAATCAAAACTAGCTCATTCATATGCATATGAATCTGTGTGTTCATGAGCCTAATAAGCGAAACAAATCATTGTTTAGGATTAATCAAGCACTAAATTGGACTTGAACTTAGGTGGCGTTTAATAAAATTAAAAGATGAACACTGAAAACTAAATATTGAATTTTAAATGTTGAATTTTTTAATTTGTAAACTGTTTAGTATCAACTAAAATTTAAGTATTGAATTAAATCAAATTGTTTGATAAATATAAGAAGTTGAAGTTTAAAAATTATTATTATTATAATTTTTTCCTTCTTTTAAACTATCTCTCCGTAACTATCTTTATGATGGTGGCGGTGGTGTTAGTGGTGATGGTGGTGGTGGCGGCAACACAATAGGTGGTGGTGATAATGGCGACAATAGTGTTGGTGATGATGGCAGTGGCACAATGATGGTTGTGACATTGATAGTGGTGACGACACAATGATGATGGGATAATAGTGGTGGCGACTGCGACATAATAATGGTGGTGGTGGTGGTAGTGACACAATGGTGGGGGTGAGAGTGGCACAATGGTAGTGATGGTGGTGGTAGTGGTAGATGGTGAGTATTGAAAAGTTAAAAACGTAAAATAAATTGAGTATATTTGTCCATTATGAAGAATTGATAAAATTTTCACTGACTAATATTTTCGGCATTAAGTGATACGTGGATTGTTTGTTACTTAAAATTTTAACATATTTTTAAGAAATGTTTAAAATATTAAATAGTATAAATTTTAAGTTATTAAACGAATTTAATTCATTAAATGCTTAAAGTATTTAGTTTTAAATTTTAAGTGGTGTTATCAAACACCCCCTTAGTTTAGGGGTGTCCATAGGTTGGGTTACCCACGGATCCCGTTATCCGGCCCAAAAAAAATAGACTCAAAACCTGATAGGCCCGATAGTTGGCCCACCCAAGCCCTAGCTCAATATCCTTTAAGAAAGGGTTTGAGTTTACCCCTAAGTCCACTACCCAGCCCGAAGCCCAGTCCAATAACCCGCCCACATACCCGAAGCCCATACCCGCCCACGGAGACTCGAATAGTATTGGTAGGGGAGACTTAACGGTAGTGGTTCATGAGACTTGAATTAAATGGTAAGTGGGTGAGACTTGATTTTGGTAATGGTAGGTAAAGTTAAGTTCAAATTTTTTCAAAAGGTTTGAATATGGGTCTGAGACTTAAACAGTAGTTATGTATTATCTTTAAATTGTAGCTATGTAGCTATGGAGACTCAGTGAACTGTCTTAGACTCATACTCACTTCATAGCCTATGAGACCAATAGCCATCAATATTTTTGACAATCTTTTCAGTTTTGTCAGTGGCTGAGGCAGGACAGATTGGACAGTCATAAATTTACTAATTTATTTGAGTCAATAGTCGACTACTTTTTAATGTATAATTTATAAATAAATGGCTAATTTCATTTCAACTCACTCAGTTATTTGCTCACATTTCATTGCAAAAACAAAAAAAAACTCTCATTCTCTGAACTCACAAGTGTTCTAAAATCTGAAGTCTCAAGTTTTCTGAAGTCTTGAAGTCTCAACTCTCATTTGATGAGAAAGTTTTTTTTACATAATTTAAGTATTTATTTTATTTTTATAGTTTAATTTACTTAATAACTTTATCTCATTCACAAAATATTTTTTATAACAAAATTCTTGAGTCGAATAATGATAATGAGAATATCGATAAGGGTGAAAGGAATGATCCACTTTCAACGCCTGAGATAGATTCTACTAAGAATGTATTATCTAATAAAAGACAAAAGTCCAAGGCCTAGGATCACTTTGAGAAAATTAAAATTAAGAATTCTAATGAGGTCATTACATAAAAAAAGGCTATATGTAATTATTGTAAAAAAAATTTTGCTGGAGGCTCTAAAAATGGAACTAATCACTTAACTAGACACCTAAAGACATGTCTATTATGAGGTCAAATTAATATTAGACAAACAATGTTATCACAATCTGCTAGCATCGGTACACTAAGCACTTTTAGTTATGAACTTGAATCTGCTAGGCCTATCAAAATTCAACACAACACAATTAATCAACACGAATTAAACACATTTTGGTGAGACCTTAACAGGTTCAGGTGATAAATGGATTAATTCGCCAGACATATTTAATAAACGGGTTGTGTTCAGGTGAGACCTATCAATCTGTTTACCCATTTTAAAAAAATATTATAATATTAAATTAATAAATAATTTAAAAAAATTAGTCAAAATTTAAATATTATATATATATAAATATATGGTAAATGAGTAAAAAAAAATCTTATTTCAGAAAAATTAAATACAGACTACTCCCTTACCCCCCCCCCCTTTGCAGTGTTCGATTTGGGAATAAATTTTTTATCACTATAGACAACACATCATAAGAAGATCGATGATTCTTCCCCCTCCTTTACTCACTTACCCACTCCTTTTTCCATAGATTGCAGTGTTCAATGATTCTTTCGAAGATGATTGATGATTCTACATCCCTATGTGTTGTAGTTGTGATTCTACATCCCTCTGTGTTTCACATCAGAGAATGATCAATGATTCTAGCTGTGATTGGTGTAGTGGTTGAGTGGATCCTTGGTAGCGACAATGATTCTAGCTATGATTGGTTAAGTTCTAGTTGAGTGGATCCTTGATAGCGATGATTCTAGTTGTGATTGTTCTCTCTTCATTTAGTGAATCCTTGGTTGGCAGTGATGGCACACCTAGTGAAAGTAAGTGGGTTTATATACACAGTTTGTGGGTTTATAGAAATTGAACACAGTGAAAGTTTTTGGCTTGAGAATCTCACATTGACAAATTTGAATGAAGGAGACCTCTCATGCCTATAAAATGATGCAACCCCTTTCTTTAGTCATTAAACCTTCTCATTTGCTTTTGCAAGTGGCAACCAGATGAAAATTTTTTGATTAATAGAGTACAATTGGTGTGGATAATTAATGGAGTTTAAAATTTTAATAGAATAGTTTTTTATTGCGGGTTAAAATTTTAATAGAATAATTTTAATAAAATTAAACGGGTTAAACGAGTCATGTTGTGTTACCCGTTTATTAAATAGTTTGTGTTTAGATTTTTTACTCGTTTATTAAACGTGTCATATACGGGATTACATATTTTTCATCCGTCACCCATTTAACCCAACACGTTTGACACCCCTAGAATCTGGTAGACAAGCAATTGTTAGATGAATTGTTGTAAGAAATCTTCCATTTGTTCTTGTAGATGATATTGAATTTGAAAGAATGTTACAAAGTGGTTTTAATCCTTCCCTCCAAAATTTTTCTCGTCAAACATGTCAAAGAGATGCTATTAAATATTATGTACAAGAAAAAAATAATTTAATTGCTTATTTTGATAATCTTAAAAATAAAAGTTGTTTGACTTCTGATATTTTGACTTCTTGCCAACAATTAGGATTTTTATATATAACTACTTATTTATTGAGGATAATTGGGTTATGCAAAAAAGAATTATTATTTTTACAAGGATTGAAGATAATCATAGTGCACAAGTTATTTTTGAAATTATTTATAATCAGTTAGAAATTTATCGTATTCAAGACAAAATTTTTACTTTTACTTTAGATAATGCAATTAATAATAGTGGGACTGTAAGTCATTTAAAATATTATTTAACTTTACCATGTGAAGGTAATTTTTTTCATATGAAATGTATGTATTATATCATAAATTTCATGGTACAAAGTGGTCTCCATGATATTAGATATATAATTGATAAAATTAGACATATTATTCATCATATAATAGGATCTGAAAATAGACTTAGGACATTTGGAACTATGTGTAAAAAGAATAATTTAAAATGCAAAAAAATATTATATGATGTGCAACATAGGTGGAACTCCACCTATAAAATGTTAAATGTAACAGTTAAATATAAAGCTGCCTTAAATGACTATATTAGTATAGATAACACCGGTTCATTATTGCATCCCATCGGAGAGGAGTGGGATGTCACTGATAAAATGAAAGATTTTTTGAAAGTTTATTATGAGTCAACTATGGTTTTATCTGGTAATTATTATCTAACTATTATATTTGTCTATGTTCATATAGTTAGTAACAGTGTTTTTTTTGAACTATATAGTAATGAACCCGAATTTTTTACTATTTTACATAATATGCAATCTAAATTTAATAAATATTTTTTACCACTTCCTATACTTTATTGGTTTTGGTTTGTTAATTGACCTTCGATTTAAAGAATTTAGCTTTACAAGTATTTTTATGTCTTTATATGATAACTTAAATGATGAGCAAGTAAACCACATGAATAAAATAAAATATTATTTTTAAATTTATTTTAATGAATATAGTATAACATTTGGGAATTGTGGTATACTTAATCCCCTCTCAATTTCTAGTAATATTGTTGGTAGTAGTAAAAGTAAAGGTAAAACATCTATGTTAGCTTCAATTTTGAACAAATGAGATATGTCAACATCTAGGGGGTTAACTGAACTTCAGCAATATTACAATACTCCAATAGTAAGTGTTGAAGATCTTGATTTTGATATTTTGGTCTGGTGGAAAGGATATGAAAGTAGGTTTTCAATTTTTTTCATCATGGCTCGTGATATTCTAACAGTTCTTATGTCGATTGTTGCATCCAAATTTGTCTTTAGTACAGGTGGACGTGTCATTGATGAGCGTAGGAGTTGCTTGAATGGAAAAACAATGGAAGTTTTTATGTGTCTTCAAGATTGGTACGCAGCTGAAGAGAGAGATCAAAATATCAAAATAAATCTCCCAATGCCAGAATTTGAAATTTTAAAAATTTAGATATTAAAACTGATGTATTTTTTTCATGTATTAAATATTTTAACTTTTCATGTATAAAAGCCTTTAATGGGTAGAATTGTGCAAATAATAAATAGGTGGATATGTATCAACTTAGTTAAAATGTATTCATTCTGTTGTGATAAAATTTCTCTTTTATTCATAAATAAAATTATTCATTATTTAATTTTTGTCCATTTTTATTTTGACTATACTTTTAATTCAAAAATATAATTTACAAAAAAATTTAATGAAATTATATATTTTTTTAATAGGGCCCAATAAGCCCGCTCAATAGGTGATGGGCTAGGCTGCAAGTAGCTACCCCGGCCTGGCTTGGCCCGCCACTTGCGCGAATATGGGCTTGGGCCTACATTACCCAAGTCCGACCCAAAAAAAATTTCAGGGGCCAACCCCCGGCCCCGCCCATGGATAGCCCTACCTTACTCCATATAATAAATAGCTAAATCTGAACAAATTTTTAACATGTCCAATAGAATGTAGATATTTATATAATATTTTTATATACAATGCAATATATCACTCAATGTGCAGCTTTTTATTCTATTAGACATTCAAATGATAAACTTAATTTTGAACTTTAAAATATATATGGACCCATAAAATAAAATGTAGTATGAAATTATAATTTTTTATTAGAATAAAATTATATTTTTTAAAGATTATATTAACAGATATCAACGAAAAGGGATTACGTGTTACACGTGAACAAACGTAATTAGATGTAGGAGTAATATTTTAAATATAAAGGGATCCAAATGATTAATAGACAAGTATAAGGGAATCTAGGTATAATTTATCAATTTAATTTTAGGTGCACATTAATACAAATTTCTATCTTTAATGGTGCAAATTGAGATTTTTTATCTTTGAGGATACACATTGATACAAATTTCTACTATGAGGATGCAAATTAAAATTTTTGATCTTTTAAGGTGCACATTGATACAAATTTCTATCTTTGAGAGTACAAATTCAAATTTTTAATCTTTAAAGGTATAAATTGAAATTCAAACGATCTTTCAGAGTACAATTTGCAATTAACCTTAAAAAAAATGTTGAGATTTACACATTTAATGAACACAAATTTTTGTAACTGGAACACACGTAAGATGGTATGCTTACACTAAACACACAACATACTCTCTCCTGTCTGTCAACCATGAATCTAGCAGTTAGCAAGCTCAAGGTTAGTCTAACCAACTTAATTTATTGACAAGGCTGATTCAATCTTGTCTGATCTGCATCCATGGATGTGGGACAGGAGGAAGTTGTAACGGAAACCATGTGTCACTCAACCCTTGAATTCTCTCGCTACTCGTCAAGCCCATAGTCCTCACCAAAGTACTTGTCAACTAACTCATTAGCCAAGTTTCTGAGGTCTTCATTTTCATGGAACTGGAATCTTTCCATGGCATCAATCCCATCTTCTCTCTCAACAAGTTTTGGGCCCTCTCCATTTGACATTCCGCTCAGAACCTAACAAAGTCAAAAACATTTTGAACTAAAAGGGAACAAGTAGCAACTCTTTCACCATGACCACATTACAGAACCAACCACCCTTCCAACCACCCTTCTTATCAATCCATTCGTTATAAAAAAAAGTAGATTGCATGTAAAATTTCAGTTTCTCATTAGACAAAAATGATTGATAATCAACTGATGCCATATGATTAAGAAAACACTGCATACATAAACTCATTATGCTATGGGTTGTAGTTTGTCATGTAGGAGTCTTCTGTCAGGTTATGAAGGATACAAAAATGTACTGAAGTAAGCAATAACTTATTTCTTTAATATGCTCACAGCTCTAATTCATGGTTCTTCACCATCAGAAATAGGGTTGATACTAGAGTTTTGTTTCACAACTTATGATGATACTCTTTTTTTTAGTTTGCCGTAATGAACTGCATACTAGACCATAGACTTGACTATGTTTTATGCTTAAAAGATAAGTGATTCCAAGATTAGAGGGCAAGTCTCTAACTATTTGTAGCAACCAAGCCCAAGTTTCAAAATAGTATAACACAGAGGAAACACCTGCTTGTTTCCATTCAGCAGCTACTTGGACCTTTCAAGAATTCTTATCATAAGATTCTTCAGAAACAAAGTCTTCTTATAAGATTAATTAGAACCTTGCTCTTTAAATAGAAGACTGGATCATCTCTAAGTTTTTTGAGATATTGATGGACTACTTGGAGGTACTTGCAATTGCCAAATTGTAAGGTAGACAAAATTGGAATCATCAAGGGCCAAAAACAAAATCAGTAATTTTAACAAGGAAAGAAACCAGGAGCAATAAACTCTTGTGCTATATAGGTGGTATGTTATATGAACAACTTCCTAAAAATCTTGAGTCAAAGATAATAATGGGTGGATCATTAAAAAAGATTACCAGCTCCAAGAATTGAAGTCCTAGTCTTGCAGCCTCAATATCAGCCGATCTCACTAGATCGATAAAGCCAGGAAGGCATCCTCTGTTAATGAGCGAAACCAAGTGGTCCATAATCAAATTTGGCCTCCCAGCACCTTCCGCTGGAGCAACACAGAGGTTACCCAAAACATGTGCTACTTCCTTTCTTATGTCAAATGGTGCTGTAGAAAGGAGGCGTAACAACAGTGGCACTGCCTCACTTGAATATATCAACTGCTTGTGTTCAACAGAACCAGCAGCTATATTGGATAGTGCCCAAGCTGCCTCCTACAAAAGTAACGGAGCTTCTGGTGACATTTGATCGAGACAGTGTCTTAGCCACTATAAAATTTTTTTTACCTTTTTTAAGACGCGATGCTCACTCTTGAGACATTTAATTAGCACAGATATGACATTATCTGCAAACACCACCAAATTTCAGTGAGTTGCCCAAAAAATGTGGTAGAAGTTACACTTTCCCACCTCCGCAAGCAGACTAAGATAGAAACTAGCCTGTAATCTCATGTCCAGGAACAAGAACAACTTTAGTTGTGTAAGCATCACCAGCCACAAGATTACCTAAGCTTCGCAACACCTGCAGGGAAATGTATTTAACAAAAAAGATCCAGAGTATGCAATGGTTTTTCTAAAAAATGTTACAAGACCATCCTAGCTGCATTTAGTATTCAATCTATACCCAGACTTACAGATAAAATATAAAAAAGGCATGACAAATCAGGGGACGACAAGTTGTACACAATTCAGCAGTTAATCCAATGCACAATCACATGAAATGGGAGATGATTAAGAAAAGTTATTAGGATTCTACTATTTCTCATTCTTCCTTTAACCGGATCACAATAGAAATCATATTGACTAGAGAATTGTTATACACCTAGTTTGTGTTCATTCCAGAAGAACAGCGAATACCATTGTAAGACCATAAGCAAAGATGCAGCTTGTTTGTAATGTAGACTGAGAAACTGTAATGACCAGTATTAAAATTAATCGGTAATACGTTAATTAAAACGCAAACTAGGATTTTATGCGATCAAAAGCATAATATAAAAATATTTTTTTGAAATTTCAAATAAATAAATGGGCCTTAAAAATAGATTCGTTGTGTGAAAACGAGTCAAATGACTATAATATTAACCATATTTAGTGTTATGTTAAATATCCAAAGTGCCTGAATTATATAATATAAGTAAAAGTATGTGCCACATGTATAAATATTTGCAAGGTATAAGTGACAAGTGTCCTTGCCATAATATGCTAAAAAAAAAAAAAAGACATGTGGCTGTTAAGTAAAAAAAAAACAATTGTTAAACAAATAGAACGGACAAATGTCCATAATGACCTCATATGCCTTACATGAGGAGCTTGGAGCCCAAGGCTACTCCCCATGATTCACTCTACAAATATGATCTCTTGATCAGTAGGGTAAACCAAGGGAAAGAAAGGAGAAAAAAATGAAAGAGAGGGAGAAAAAAAAAAAGAATGAAAAACTTGATTTTGGGGTAAAAAATTGAACGGAGATTTAAGTATCTTGTTCGTGGTACTTCAATTTTATATCTATCGAAGTTCTCCATGATTTTGAGGTGCGGAGAAGTATATAATATGCTTATATCTTTCAATCTCTTTGTAAAGTGTGTTCTTTTGATCATCTAAAATTTGTATTCCTATTTATTATTTTGGTTGATATGAAATCCTGATAAGTATGAGCATGGATTTATATGCTCAAGTATCATTTGTCATGTCACCAAGATGAACCCAGTATAAGGTTATGTTTAATAGCAATTGAGCTATGCGACATGTCCAATTTGACTAATGATTCCAGTGTTCATGTTCCTATCATTTGAGTTATTTGGTATATGATCATTCGTATTTTTTTTTAACATATTATTTCCTGCNTGACATGTCCAATTTGACTAATGATTCCAGTGTTCATGTTCCTATTATTTGAGTTATTTGGTATATGATCATTCGTATTTTTTTTTAACATATTATTTCCTGCTATATTGTATACTTCTCCGCCGCTAATATTTTTTAGGATGATCTAGAAAGAAAAGACCAAAATTAATATTTGAAAAATCGGAGATGGACGAATCACGATATAATTTTTATAAAAATGAAATTACAAGTTTCATCGGCCTTTGAAGATTAAATTTGTAATTATATTTTTTATTGAGGTAATTATAGATTTGACCATATATTTGGAATATTTTGTGGAATTGTGTCCATCGTTTAACGAAGTAACGCCCCGGGAAACCGGAGCATTACAGGAAGTATAAGAAACACATTTGTTGAGTAATCCCTCCATTATCAGCACAGCAGAATCTCAACTCAAATGATCATGCTCATTTTCAACCACAACATGGAAAGCTTGAACTGATCAAGTCAATCAGCATATGACACCAGACTTTCCGAAGGAAATTATTTCAAGCCTTCAAGGTACCTAGTGTGAAAAAAAAAGGGGCAAACAAAAGGAAAAAGTTGTTTGGTACTTAGATCACACACATTTTACACTTCTAATTTTACATAGTTATGGAGTTGACATGAAATGTTATCAATTAGTACTTGAACTTGAAAGAAGATTCAAGACACAGGTATAGTAAGGCTGGCATATTAGAGTGGCCTATGTTGATCTGCATATAATAGAAAACATATATCATGCCAACACACAAAATTTTAATGCATTAATTTAAAAGAGCTAATTTAGGCAATTATTTTGCCTGTTACCGGAATGAGCAATTGCAAACTGCTCGAATTTGCCAATCTTTCCACAAGGAATTGAAGGATATTACTCTTTATCAGCATACTGGGTGCAACATTTGAAAGGGCGGAGAGATAAGCTACAACCCATGCTACTTCAGTTGCCAATTCCACACACCTGATTGTACCAGTAGTTTGATTATACAAAACTACATAGCATGATATGACTACACTAAAAGATCATATTGCAATATAATTTCTGCATGCAATGAAGACCATAAGAAAGCCACACGTTATTGAAGTGTCATTGAGCCAAATGTGGCAACTTAGTATGATCTTACGCCAAGTAACTATCGGTAGGTGGAATCTTTAAAGCTCCTATAAACAACATAACAAATTGAGATGACGCAAAACATGACCACAACACCATATAGAAAGGAGCAGAAAAAATATATTTGAAGTGTTCTACAACAGCACTGAGGAAGTGCAACTACAAGGAGCAGACCAAAAATTGACAATCAATAAAGTGAGAATGAGAAGGGCACAAAATGTTGGTACTCTTTGAACAACACATTGGAATCGGCAGAATAATATGTTAAAAACAAGATAGATAAAGAATTAGGTGGAGAAGGGCATTTGATAATTTGACGCGTGGCAATGAAAACATTACAATCTTTTTACTAAACACCATGTACACTTGACTATAATTCCATGTCGGTTTTAAATTTGTCCCCGNCTTGAAAGAAGATTCAAGACACAGGTATAGTAAGGCTGGCATATTAGAGTGGCCTATGTTGATCTGCATATAATAGAAAACATATATCATGCCAACACACAAAATTTTAATGCATTAATTTAAAAGAGCTAATTTAGGCAATTATTTTGCCTGTTACCGGAATGAGCAATTGCAAACTGCTCGAATTTGCCAATCTTTCCACAAGGAATTGAAGGATATTACTCTTTATCAGCATACTGGGTGCAACATTTGAAAGGGCGGAGAGATAAGCTACAACCCATGCTACTTCAGTTGCCAATTCCACACACCTGATTGTACCAGTAGTTTGATTATACAAAACTACATAGCATGATATGACTACACTAAAAGATCATATTGCAATATAATTTCTGCATGCAATGAAGACCATAAGAAAGCCACACGTTATTGAAGTGTCATTGAGCCAAATGTGGCAACTTAGTATGATCTTACGCCAAGTAACTATCGGTAGGTGGAATCTTTAAAGCTCCTATAAACAACATAACAAATTGAGATGACGCAAAACATGACCACAACACCATATAGAAAGGAGCAGAAAAAATATATTTGAAGTGTTCTACAACAGCACTGAGGAAGTGCAACTACAAGGAGCAGACCAAAAATTGACAATCAATAAAGTGAGAATGAGAAGGGCACAAAATGTTGGTACTCTTTGAACAACACATTGGAATCGGCAGAATAATATGTTAAAAACAAGATAGATAAAGAATTAGGTGGAGAAGGACATTTGATAATTTGACGCGTGGCAATGAAAACATTACAATCTTTTTACTAAACACCATGTACACTTGACTATAATTCCATGTCGGTTTTAAATTTGTCCCCGAATCAACCACAAATTGCAAAATTATAAAAATGTATTTTAAAACAAATGTTACTCGTAACACAAATTTAAGCCCATAAGCATATCCTTTTTTATTTTTGATCTGAAACTTCGATGAAAGTTTCATGTTTCAACAATTGTTTTCTATAAGAGCTTTGGCAATTTCAAGTTCCGATTAAATGGCCCCTGTTTATAAAGGAATCTAAATGTGCCAAATTATGCACATAAGTCACCAACGCAGATAGCAGAACTATATCCCACATATCAGAACAGAAATCTCAATTGATCAATCCATGTTATTCAGTATGGGAAAGTGTCCATCAAGTAGTGGATTTCAGTCCACAAACTTGTCACAGCATTGTAACCTGCTGAATTGGCAATGACTTACGCGTTCCTCAAATGCCGGAGAATTGCATCAAGTACTCCATTGGTTCTTATGAGTTCAGTTGCCGCTTTAGGATTTGGGCCCTACAACCACAAACACAGATCCATGCCGTAAATGTTGTCAAAAGAACAATGCCCTGGTAAAAGTAATCTCAAGGAAATAAGAATACTCTATGTTGAACTAATTTACAAGCTCAATACTACATTCAAATGTGGCTTATTATGTTGAATGTCCTTGGGGAATAACATAAGACAAAATCTTGAAGTTTAGATGGTGGAAGCTATCTACATTGAAAGAAAATAAGAAAAAAACTACAATAACACCTGCTCTTCTAACACATAAACCAATGCAATTTTTACACAACAAATAAGAGTGCACATTGTTTTTCAAATTAAAAAAATGCTTTGAAAATTGTATTTCTATCTTTGATGAGCAGTTCTAAACCTTGATAAGGTTCGACAACGCCCAAGCGGCTGTTCTCACAGTTGAACCCTTGTTTGGAAGCATCATTCTTGCAAGAGGTGGTAAGGCTCCTTGTGACAGCAGAATATTTCTCATCTCCTCTCCTTCACCAGCAACATTTCCCAGTGCCCATGCACACTGCTCAGCAACTGGCAAGGAACTCTTTTCTACACATCAAGAGCATTTTAACAGTCTAACTGTACACTTTCTGGAAAGGTCTCATTAGAGATTAGAAATATTATTGTTGAAGTATAAATACTTAAGTTACACCGTCTCCAACCAAAAACTTAACCTTTTGGAATAAATGGTTGTTTAACATAGAATTAGAGCAGAAAGTCTTGTGTTCGAACCTCGCCATCACCCTAATTATTAAAAATATTTACACATGATAAGCCCAAAATCTAGCCTACAGGTGAGGGGCGTGTTGAAGTATAAATACTTAAGTTACACGCTCTTCAAAAGCTTAAATTTTGGGAGTAAATGATTGTTTAACAATTATCTACAACATTCAGCATTGGGCTGATGACAAGAAGGAATAAGGGAGCTAAATAAAAATTCAAAATGTAGTAGTAAAGCCAAAATAAAAAGTTCAAGGAAAGCTTATGCATCTCAAGATTACCATGAAACCTTGAATTGTTAAAAATAAGAAAAAGCATCAAGTTCATCTATTTTCTTTTCAATAAGACAAAAATTTATAACAAAAGTAAATATCACCTCAACAAAGCCCTGTCCCAACTATTTTTGCATCAACCACAAAAATGTAGATATACATAGTATATTAGCATACATCTGGATTATTAATCATATTAGTTATCACTTGATGGTTCAACTAATCCAAAACATAATCATTGAACTATATTAATTTCTAGAGTTCTAGGAAACATGGATATGGATACAAATACAGATATGTGATGCACATACGATACGACAAAACTTAACAGGATACGAGTGCCATCGGGCTATATCTATAATAAAATATTTTTTATATTTTACTTTTATTTAACAACTTAAAAATTATAAGTTTTAGTATTTTTTTAACAATAGTAAACAAAATTAATAATTTTTAACTTGCAAAATGTGTAATATCGTCTTATTATGATATTATGATATATCTATAAAGTAAATGTGACCAATTTAAGGAATTAAAACCAATATTTCACTAGTTGATTTTCTTACAAGTATTTGTTTCTAAGGATATAGTATAACTAACTCATTTTTTTATACTCTTTTGACATGTAATAGTAGATAATACTTTGAAAAATACTTGTTTCTTCAAAGTCAAATCGAATTAAAGTACTGGGCATTGTGCTCTATATCAACTCGCAAGAGGAAAATTAAAAGGGTTGGCATGCTCAGGTTGGAATAATGCCACTCTCAATGAAAGGATAATGAAATTTTTGGTGATAGTCATGACACCGAAGTACCCGAACAACCAATAACTTCCTTAAATATAATAGTTGGTAAACAAGGATCATCAAATGTTGAAATATTTCATCAAGGATAGAATCTCAAAGACAATGATCTCCAATTGTTTTGGAGAAAATATAGGGCCTGCTTAGATTGCATATCAAAACACAGTCTCTGAAAACGATTTTTGAGAAGAGTTTTAGAAAAGTGTGTTTTAATGTTTTTTAAGACGAAGATCTTGTTTAGTTAGATAATTTCAAAAACAATTTCATAAAATAGAAAATAATGAAACTTATTTGGATTAACAATTTCATATAAAAACATTTTAATATATTAACTTGTTAAAAAAAAAAAACAAAAAAAGGAACGTCAAATCTATTGAAGCAGTGATCCGTGTGTGTGTGATCCAAAAATTAGATCCACAAATTCGTAACCCAGAAATTAATCAACATATTTCGTAACCCATAAAATCAGATCCACAAAGTTGTAACCCATAAAATCCACAAATTCGTAACCTAGAAAACCCACTATGTGTGTGTGTGTGTTCATTCCCTGTGAGCCAAAAAAATCAGAGAATAAAATTTGAAGCCAGATGCAAGATTTGATTTGATTTGTGTTTGTTCCACCCAAGACCTCCTTCAAGATTTGAAGCCAGATGCCATAAAAAAATTTAAAAAAAAAAAGGAAGAAGAAGATGTTGAACCCATTCTTGAAGGAGATCTTGAACCCAAATGCTGGAGANATTGCATTTCCCATTTCTACTTGAGCCTCCACCACCATTTTCAAAGTTTCTTGCTTTAATACGTAGACGTAGTAATAGCCAGACATTTTTGCTAGACCTCGCTTCTACACATACTTTGACTTTAAAATCCAACAAGAACATCAAAGGAAAGGACATGTGCACAAAATTGGACTCTGATGAATGAATAAAGAAACTAAGCATGCACAAACAAGAGCCTTACATCATTTAGCTAACAAGCTGACAACTAGAGAAACTATTAGCACATGCACACACACACACGGATGCTAGGTAGAATCTAATAGGGATAGCCACTTTTCCCAAGACACCAAAAACAGTCTAACTCCTTGTTGGAATTGAGCTAAAACTCATCCCTCATATTATATGAGAAGACTAGGACGAGTTGACATACTGATAGCCAACAGCAAGCTTTAATGTTTCCACAGCCGAAGAAGCCTGAGCCTCCAAAATTGATTGTTCTTCATCAGTTATCATATCACTGTCAAATGGGAAATCTCTATCATCACTAACTCCCACTATGCACAGGCGTTTTGTTCTTATCAGTGCTTCTCTTCTTTCTTTTCCCACTGTAACTGCATGCTGCCGTCTCCGATGTGCCGCAATATTCCCAACTGAAGAGATCAGTTATGCATTTAGCAGTTAAAATGCAACCAGAACAGAACAATTAAAAATGAAAAATACAAACAGACCAACACTATTTGTGTGTATGTGAATGTGTCTGTATGTAAGTTTGTGTTTGCATATGTCCATGAGAGACAGAGAGTCACATAACGACAAGGAATACAAGAAGCTTTTCACTTAATAAACTTCACACATTTACTCAGGCAAGCATGCATGACCTATTTGAGATATTATTTGGTGAATTTAGAACTTTTTTTCCACGAACTTTATACTCTCTGTTTACTCGGGAATTCTTGTGGAAGATGCCATGTCTTGTTAGTGTATATAAGCATAATACATTCTATTTACTCGGGTAAGAAAGCGTGACATGATTTTGATACTCTCTAGTCTCTGTTAATATTACAGTTTTTTTCATGAATATAATACTGTCGACATTGTCGTACGATATTGTTACAAATTATAGTCAATTTGGTTGCTTGGGAAAAATAACGATAAGCAACTAAAGTTTCTAATCTTTGACTCCAGCATCTCATTAGCAAGGACCTCAACAAAAATACAAAATAAAATAATGAAAAGAAGGTTATCACAAAACCATTGAACATTATACTTTTGTTTAAGATTTCCCTGGCAACCAAACAAAGAGTTTAAATTACATCAAGCCAAAAACTAAAAGAAAAACTACAAAATAGCATGCTAGTTGTCTGATAGAGTTATGATTAACCATCTTAATTGAAAGAAACTCTGGGTGCTCATGCTTGGAATTGGGATTGAACACCATTTTAGTTCAGGTTTTAATTAATAAACTTCTTCTCCAACTCCAATTCCAGGACATGAATTATAAGTTTCGTGGCACCTTGTCAAAGTAATTCGAACAAATCACCATTACTTACAATGACNGTCAAGAGATAGTTTCTGCAGTGTTCCTTATTCAATTCACCAATCTCAAGGTATGGCACTCACATTGGCACTAATGCACTATTTGCATAAACAATTGCCACACATTGATAGACAACCACACAGCATGGCTGTGAAATCAAAAGGAAGAGGAAAGCATACTTTTCTCTTCCCCCCTCGGCCCCCAACCCAAAATCCCCTAATCTACCCTTTTCCTGTGGTTTCAAACATAATTACTAACAATCCCAAGTTGTCTTCAAAAACTAGACTTGTATTCAGGTGAGAATTACTCAACTATGGAAATGAAAAAATGCAAAATAAATAAATAAATTATTTGGACCTGTTCATCTGGAGAGCCAAATGAAAGACATTGCACGAGGATAGGAATTGCCCCAGCCTCGAGGGCAGCTTGAACCGGAGGAAATTCAGATCTAGACAACAAACGCCTTAATTCACGAAGAGCAGTCACTCTTTTCTGCATTGCACCTTTCCCTCTAATACATATACAATAAAGATGTTGTTAGTGCTTTGTGATGGAAAAATAAGGGAACGACTGTCTGCAGTAAAATTAAGCATCAAGGATGCATAACCACATCTGCATTACTTCGTGATCCCAAAATGAAAGTACACGTGCAATTAAAAACTTATGCACATACCTAGAGATACTGCAAAACTCCCTCTAAACAACAAAAAAAAAGCCACATTCCAGAAACCCACTCCCCAGACTAATAAAAATCCACTCCAACAGTCAGGAGAATCCAGTCCATTCCAGCAAGCATCTCCCATTATCAAAACACATCATGTGAACAATGCTGCTGAAACACTTCCTGAGATCCATGTGAAATCTGTTTCTAATATGAGTCCTTTGTGCATGTTACTTTTTGCTTCTCAAATAAAATCCTATTCTGGTCTACATAGAATCCCTAACAATATTCCTGTATTGCATTTCCCATTTCTACTTGAGCCTCCACCACCATTTTCAAAGTTTCTTGCTTTAATACGTAGACGTAGTAATAGCCAGACATTTTTGCTAGACCTCGCTTCTACACATACTTTGACTTTAAAATCCAACAAGAACATCAAAGGAAAGGACATGTGCACAAAATTGGACTCTGATGAATGAATAAAGAAACTAAGCATGCACAAACAAGAGCCTTACATCATTTAGCTAACAAGCTGACAACTAGAGAAACTATTAGCACATGCACACACACACACGGATGCTAGGTAGAATCTAATAGCCACTTTTCCCAAGACACCAAAAACAGTCTAACTCCTTGTTGGAATTGAGCTAAAACTCATCCCTCATATTATATGAGAAGACTAGGACGAGTTGACATACTGATAGCCAACAGCAAGCTTTAATGTTTCCACAGCTGAAGAAGCCTGAGCCTCCAAAATTGATTGTTCTTCATCAGTTATCATATCACTGTCAAATGGGAAATCTCTATCATCACTAACTCCCACTATGCACAGGCGTTTTGTTCTTATCAGTGCTTCTCTTCTTTCTTTTCCCACTGTAACTGCATGCTGCCGTCTCCGATGTGCCGCAATATTCCCAACTGAAGAGATCAGTTATGCATTTAGCAGTTAAAATGCAACCAGAACAGAACAATTAAAAATGAAAAATACAAACAGACCAACACTATTTGTGTGTATGTGAATGTGTCTGTATGTAAGTTTGTGTTTGCATATGTCCATGAGAGACAGAGAGTCACATAACGACAAGGAATACAAGAAGCTTTCCACTTAATAAACTTCACACATTTACTCAGGCAAACATGCATGACCTATTTGAGATATTATTTGGTGAAGTTAGAACTTTTTTTCCACGAACCTTATCCTCTCTGTTTCCTCGGGAATTCTTGTGGAAGATGCCATGTCTTGTTAGTGTATATAAGCATAATACATTCTATTTACTCGGGTAAGAAAGCGTGACATGATTTTGATACTCTCTAGTCTCTGTTAATATTACAGTTTTTTTCATGAATATAATACTGTCGACATTGTCGTACGATATTGTTACAAATTATAGTCAATTTGGTTGCTTGGGAAAAATAACGATAAGCAACTAAAGTTTCTAATCTTTGACTCCAGCATCTCATTAGCAAGGACCTCAACAAAAATACAAAATAAAATAATGAAAAGAAGGTTATCACAAAACCATTGAACATTATACTTTTGTTTAAGATTTCCCTGGCAACCAAACAAAGAGTTTAAATTACATCAAGCCAAAAACTAAAAGAAAAACTACAAAATAGCATGCTAGTTGTCTGATAGAGTTATGATTAACCATCTTAATTGAAAGAAACTCTGGGTGCTCATGCTTGGAATTGGGATTGAACACCATTTTAGTTCAGGTTTTAATTAATAAACTTCTTCTCCAACTCCAATTCCAGGACATGAATTATAAGTTTCGTGGCACCTTGTCAAAGTAATTCGAACAAATCACCATTACTTACAATGACTCAGTAACTGGACAGGAACAAGCTCCAATTACAGAGCAATAAAAATCTCTATGAAATNATTACTAAAAACAACCTAGAAAATTTTAATATTTTACTACTAAATCCAAATTTACATATGTTGAATTTTTTTGTTTTTTTGATCAGATACATATGTTGAATTAAAGTGTTTAATTTCCAATCAGCCTCGCCAAATGTAAGAATTTTAAGTCCAATGTTTTACTTTATCAAAGGACCCCACCCCACCTACATTTTAATAATAATGTTACACTGATCAAATTTTGAGACCAAATTAAGAGCTCAAATGACGTGACAGTTGACTTAGACTTTTTTACTTGGTGTCATGTCATTTAGGCCCCAATAAAGACTCCAAAATAATATGTTGTCATATAATTTGGGTTCCAAATTTTGTCCCACAATTTGATCAACGTAGCAATACTGATTTTCTAAACAATATCACTAGGGGGCATTGGAAATAAAACTAAAAGATTGGGAGGGAGGTCAAAGATGAGGTAGTTGTATGAACCAGTCATCGGGAATTTACTTTAATTCACAGTGAAAGTAGTAGGGCATTCTACTGCTCACTCAAACGGCACAACAGAACAGTGAGAGAGAGAAAGAGAGAGACTTCTCTAATAGAATGGCGATAGCGAGGTTAGTACCCTATTAAGAGTTCTCGATGGATCATTGTCCTTAAAGCTTCACTCTCCGAACTTGCGCTACCAAAATGTTACCACCTTCCACTTTTCTGTGGGGGCAAATTCCTAACAAAAGTTAAAAATTTTAAAATACTAGGTTCCAAGGTTTCTGAAAATTCCAGTTGAGCCAGTTGTCCTCAATGCCCCCACCGTAGCTCCGCCCTTGATTATTATACTAATTTGCTTCGCCTCTTTATTCTTCTATTTACTGTTCTGAACTGGTAATTTATTTGACCACTCTACCTTTTTTTCATGGTCATTCGAAGCTCATCGTCTCTTTTAACTCACAATGGTCCAAATTGATGGAATTCCACTGTTTTTCATGTTGGGTATATTGGTTTTTTTTAATTTGGATTTGTGTCTTATCTCTGTCATTCAAAGCTTTACAAAGCCAAACATCCTTGAATTGTTTTTAAGGTACCAATATCATTCTTTTAATCCTCAATGGTATACAGTTCGCTGTTAGTAGTTGGTACCAAGCATATTCAATCAATTATTTTAGGTTTTGTTATGTCAAAGTCATCAATTGATCGATTCCTAGTGATAACACCATTTTAATGCTAAAATTCAAGTATTTTGTTACTTGAAGTTTGATGATTGTGGTGACTAGAACTGCTTTTGATGATTGGTACAAATGTTCCTAAGTTAAACTCAAAAAAAATTGGTAGTATATTCTTTACTTTGTCAATATCATAATTTTTTAGCATAACTAATTTTTTATTGCTTTGGAAATCCGGATCGGACCTCATCAAAATGGTGAAAGGATTGGCTNATCTCTAACCACGGAGTAAATATTGGGTGTAATATGATATCCCTACATTATTTCATCTTTTTTTTTTTAAGTTTTTTTTTTTTTTGAGAATATATGTCGTTGTCTAGTATGAGCTCCAAATTCTCAATCCAATTTTTATAAATTTTTAATTTTTAAAAACTTACATAGCTTCTCACCATCGGAACTCGTTAGCCTCTTATTATTTTAAATTGGAATTAAAAAATTGTTTGAATCACTTTTTTAACAATTTCAATAGGACTCTTTATTCTAGTAGAAGAATAAACTTTATAATTAAAGCATTTAATAAAAAATATAGGTGTCATATTATCATTTATTAATGATAAAATAGATCGTTGGAGATCAACAGTGTCAATAAATTTGAATTATATCAAAGGGTCAACCCGAAAAACTAGTGATCAAACTAAGCTGGTTCTCTAATCGGATCGGTTAAATACTCATCCCTCAACAAACCCATAAAACTACACAGATTTTATGTAACCCGTGAAACCAATCTAGCACTTGAATTCCATAAAACCAAACTTTTTTTGCCCTAATCTAGAATGAACCCTGAGAGTTTCAAACGCTCTTCTCACTCTCAAATCTCGAATCCCATATCACAATCGTCTCCCATGCTCTTTGCGATTGGGATGACCTTTGCAGTTACCATAGACATGATCTTCTTCCTCTTCTCCGTTCTGTGTGGATGATCAAACGGGCCAAAACATTGTTTCCGTCAAGCATCGTCTTTGTTTTGGGCTTTATAGCTGTTCTATCCAACTCCCATATACAATATATGAAGGGCGGAGCCAAAACACTTTCTCAACGGGGGCAATCTAAAACTCGCTATATAATATTATTTTCTAAAAATATCAATTTAATACTTGTTTAGAAATACAATTTCACTAAAAGAACATCAATTGTAGACAAATTATACATACATAAGTGGTATACAAAAAGAACCAATAAAAAAAGTTCATATAAAAACCTCTTATAGCAACCGACGTAAAATTATTTATACATAGTTCCTCTTAGGTTGTGAGAGAATTTGTAATATCTTTAATACATTAGGTTGGGTCAAATTACTTTTTTTAGGAGTTAGACTCTGGGCCACCCTATTAAAGTGTAAAAACTTTGTTGCGTCTTGAGTTATATTGTAATATCTTGTTATTCGGAATGAATTTAGTTTTACTTATCGAAAAATACAGCAAGACCTAACAAAAAAACCTTTGTACCAAAATAGATGAGTGTTAAACATAATAATATATCATTGAATCTTTCATAAATAATTTATAAGGACCANTCACAGTTGGCACACCCACACACAACACACATAACTCACAAAAAACCTAAGGACTCGAAATCAGATAACTCCCTATACAGGACCGATTCGATTTTGAGATGATTGGGCAAATTCTGCCCTGAATTGATCATCTTCGTCTTATTACGACTCTAGTTTGAATTACAAACAAACGCTTTCTTTCTTATCTTGCTGTTGTAAGTTCTCTCTTTCTCTCTCTTTCTCTCTTCGTTTTCCACCCCCTGCAATCCCTTTCACACACTCACACAGGTCACAAACACCCACAACACCCACAGAGCACAGTAGAGACACACACACATCATAGCACAGTTGGCACGCCCACGCACAACACACACAAATCACAAAATACCTAAGGACTCGAAACAGGTGAACTCCCTATACAGGACTAGTTCGATTCTGAGATGATTGGGCAAATTTGCCTTGACTCAATCGTCGTCGTCTTATTATGACTCCAGTTCAAATTACAAATAGACGTTTTCTCTCTTCTCCTGCTGCTATAAGTTCTCTCTTTCTCCCTCTACACTCACACACGTCACAAATACACATAGCACACTAGAAACGCACACATTATAGCAGAGTTAGCACGGCTACGTACAACACACACATAACTCACAAAACACCTAAGGACTCCAAATAGGTGAACTCCCAAAACAGGACCGATTCAATTTTGACATGATTGAGCAAATTTTGCCCTAAATCGATCATTGTCGTCTTATTACGATTCCAGTTCAAATTACAGATAGACGTTTTCTCTCTTCTCCTGTTGCTGTAAGTTCTATCTCTCTCTCTCTCTCTCGCTCTCTTCGTTTTTCACCCCTACAACCTTTTCACACACGTCACAAACACATACAGAGCACACTAGACACGCACACATCATAACACAATTGGCACGCCCACGCACAACTCGAAAAACACCTGAGGACTCGAAATCGATGAACTCCATATACATGATCGATTCGATTTTGAGATGATTGGGCAAATTTTGCCCTAAATCGATCGTCGTCGTCTTGTTACGACTCCAGTTCAAATTACAGACAACCGATTTCTCTCTTCTCCTGTTGTTGTAAGTTCTCTCTTTCTCTCTCTCTCTCTCTCTCTCCGTTTTCCACCCCCTGTAACCCCTGTCACACACTCACACACATCATAGCATAGTTAACACACCCATGCCCACGCACAACATGCACAACTCATAAAACACCTAAGAACTCGAAACCGGTGAACTCCCTATACAGGATCGATTCAATTTTGAGATAATTGGGCAAATTTTGCCCTGAATCGATCATCGTAGTCATATTACGACTCTAGTTCGAATTATAGACAACCATTTTCTCTCTTCTCTTGCTGCTATAAGTTCTTTCTTTCTCTTTCTCTCTATCTTTCTCCGTTTTCCACACCCTACAACCCTTTCACACACTCACACACATCACAAACACACATAGCATAGTCGACACCCACACATTATAGCATAGTTGGCACGCCCACACCCACGCCCACGCACAACACACACAACTCACAAAACACCTAAAGACTCAAA